AGCGTGGGAAGTTCAAGAAGATGAGGATGGCACCTCCTTAAGGAATTCACGGTGTTGTGGCTGGCTGGCTTGGGGACTAGGGTTCAGTCTGGGGAGAGTTTCTGTCTGGAGGGTGTAGCTAATAAATGCAACACAACTGTATTTGCATTGTCTCTTGGAGTTCTTTGGGCTGAACCTGACATCAATCTCCTGTTGGGGGCTAAGAACACACTTATCTCCCTGAGCCTGGCCTTCATGAGTCCATTCCATCACACAGTGCCATGCTAACAGTTTTAATGCTCTGGCCTTCATATGCACAAGCTTCTCATGTTCCACTTCCCCCTCATGCTTTCAGAACCAAAACTCTGACGCTGACTTCTCCTAAGCATCTCCTAAGATTCTCTGTCTCTACCCCCATAAAAATGCTTCAAGAAACACCATGGGACCTGTTCTAGAAACTATGACCAGAGGAACATTAGCATCTCCTAATTTTTGCCAGTGGCCTCAGGGTGTGTCCATAGGAACAATACACCTCCAAATAATTATTTTCAAGTGAGGAGCTGATCAATGCAGTAACCTCCACCCCAGCTCAACCCTTCCTGTGGAGTCTTTTGAAATTGAAAGTTGATGGTCAGATGAGGGGCTTAGAGCATAATATAAGGTGTATTAAATGTGTTTTTCCTCCATTCTGTTTTCTCTCTAGATACCACAACATATTCCATTGAACAATCTGAGCACTTTAAGCCATGCAAAGATAAGGATCTTGCATATTGTCTTCATGATGGGGAATGCTTTGTCATCGAAACTCTAACAGGATCTCACAAGCACTGCCGGTAAGTCTTTTTATATGAAAGATTGATCATCATTGTGTTTTTATAAATCATGGTAGCATTCATATGCACACACTATGCACAGATTAAAACAAGGAAAATAAATATGCCTACCTTAGAATATTATTTAAACAACAACAACAGCAACAAGGAAACCCAATCAGGTTTCACATCTGAGGCTTACGATAATTTGTCAGTAAAGACTGCTGATGGTATCTATGAACACCCATCTATCAATAAACATTGTGGATTGGAACAGTGATTCTCATTAAGCTGATTTCCCCAGAACACAGAATAATTTGTTCTAAGAAGGTAGAAGCTGATCAAAAGGTATGCTGTCTAGGAGGTAGAAGCTGTTTTTAATGTTTCATTGCTAGGTGAAAAAAGAATATTGATAAAAGGCCTTCAGATGTTCAATAGAAGTTTGCTGAATGACTGTATAATTGAATTAATGTTTGAGAATACCATTGGGTTAAGGATTGAAGGATTTAGGAAGAGGGACCATTGGTAGTCCATCTTGTCCTGTAGAAGTGAGCTTTGCATGCAAGAATGTTGACCAATGGTATAACATCTAATTAACATTAAGTATTAAGTTTCCTATACCAAAGGGATGCTATTATTTTATCATTTTTATCATTTATTTTCCCTAGTGATTTTTTGGATATTATGATTCATAAAATTCAGAAGTTTCCTTCTATAGTTATTGGGTGTAATTCAGGCATTGTTACTGCAAAATGCTTTGATTTCTGTTACGGAAACAATCACGCATGTATTGGTTTTATTCATAATTTGGTTTTATGCCTAAATCTCTTCATGTAAACGAGATAAGCTTAGAATGGAAAGAATAGTCACACCAATTCCTTCAGATTACTGGCTCCATTCAATCTCAATAATATTCATTTTTCTGGCTACTTTATGTTTACTAGATTTTTTTGCCCTGGAAAGGTTGGTAAAAAGTTATTCCCAACTAGGATTTTTTTTTAGTTCTTCCTTTGGAAATGAATAAGGTATTGAGTTATGCTATTATTGAATGTTATAATGCCCGTGCATGCTTTTAATGCATGAATTCCTTAGTTGTGAAGTGTTGTCACCTTTACAGGGCTCCAACTTCATTATTTTACTTTATTTGGTGACTACTTTCACATCAGCTACCCAGGAACCACGCAAGTGAGTAGTACAAAAGAAAATGAATGTCACTTGTGCTCTTGACTGAACCCCCCTCAAAGTGGCTCCTTTGCTAGTTTTAAGTCTGTGTTAAGCCTAATGCCCAGATTAAGCTTGGCATATAACAGTTGAGTGAGCAGGCCATAAATCTGCAGTAATTTCCTTGGAAATGCCATACTTGAGGCTGTTGGTTTCAGTTTATCACTGTGTGGTGCTGAATGGCTTTCATCTTCTTGCATAAAAGGGGAAATAAATCTGCTGTGTAGTTCTGAATGCTATATGCCAGTGATAGGCAGATGGCAGGTTGTTAATTGGTGCTATTCCTGAAACAAATGTATATGGCTTCTGATGGCCTTTCCATAGGGTGGCATAATAGATACTTGCTTATGGCATTTGAGTTATTTTTTACTCATTGTGGCATGGCTACCCAAGTCAAGTCTTCTCAAAAGATGTTCCTTCCTCTTTCTATTGGACTAAAAGTGACCTGCATCGTTTAGGTGATGGGAAATTTTCTTGTTTTAGGGCTTGAGTTTCTGTGACAAGTCATTTCAAAGCACACTTCTGAATCCTGGCGCAGTGCTTAAATATTTGGAGTAAGGAAATAAGCACTTCCCATTTCTATTCAGTAGCACTCAGAAAGGATTTGCCAACCCCAAAATCCATCAGTCTTTGAATATTCACTGCCTGAGTACTGATGGTTGCCTTTGTTTTCCCTTTCAGTCACACATGCTTCACTGATCTCTCACTTCTCCCCCGTATTTATTTTCCTCATATGACATACTTATTAAAGTAATTACTCTGAATCATCCCAATTTGGAGATTTATGACAATAACTTGCTGAAGCTATCATAAAACTTTGTAGATGAATTGGGAAACACTTCTCTTAGTAACCAGATTGCTGTTTCTGAGCAATGGAGGATCTTGTGCAGTAAAGCGACAAGAGTAAAGCAGAAAACAATGTGCCCATTGCTGTAGAATTCCTCTCTGTGTAGATATAGGTATGTCAATGTCAGTGTTGTCCAAACTTGGCCACTTTAAGATGAGTGGACTTCAACTCCCAGAATTCCCCAGCCAGCATGGCT